CCCTCCCCCCCCCCCCCCCCAGTGCCCCGCTTGCGCGTAGGGCGGGCTACTGCCAAGAGAGGCTGTCGGGCCTTCCGCTTTGAACAGGCTGGAGCGGCAGATTCGGCGACGATCTGTCGACGATCGATGACTCGTCGCATTGGCGCCCTGCTGCTCCTCGCGGCGAGGGCCGCCGCGCACTGGCCGCGGTACGACTTCACGAGGCTCTCGGGGTCGGGCGACGGCCGCGACGGGAAGCTCCGCCTCGAGTCGCCCCTGACGATCCACATTCCCAAGGCCGGCGGGACGTCGCTCAGCAACGCTTACCTGTACATGCGGTGCGGGACCTGGGACTACAACCGCTCGGCGGAAGCCCTGGCCTCCGTCACGGATAAGAGGTGCATCGCCGCGTGCATCATCCGAGCGAAAGGGGGCCGCGCGGATTTTAGAAGTTGCAAAGCGCGGCGCAACGAGATGCATCACGCGAGATTCGAGGTGTGCAAGGCGTCCTACGGCCTCGCGGACGTCTTCGAGGGCTGGAAAGATTCAAGCAATCGACCCTTTTCCCCGACCAAAACCCAGGGGGCCATCTGCGCCGCGATGTGGCGCGATCCCTTCGAGCGCGCCGTCTCCGGATTCCTCTACCACGGGCATCATCCCGGGTACGATTTTTTCCAGGTCGGCTGGCCGCCGCGCGGCGGGCTCGCCGACGACGACGCCTCGACTCGGCGTCTCGCGACGTCCCTGCAAGATCTCGACCGGACGACGATGACGTACACGTGGTCCGAGGATGACCGGGGGAAGCAGGTCCGCCCCGAAACCCCGAACGCGACGCGGCGGTCGGCGAGCTTCCTCGAGTACGCGCGCGCGCGCGCGTATACCAACGTCGCGACGCGAATGCTCGGCGACAACGCGCACGCCTACGGGGCGAGAAGAAGCGGCGGCCTCGCCCCGATGCCCGACGCGGCGTCGCTCCGCCGCGCCGTCGGCGCGCTCCGGCGGATCCCCTTCGGCCTCCTCGAGGCCGCCGACGCGTCGTGGCTGCTCCTCGCGCACGCGCTCTCGACGACGCGCGACGCCTGCGCGGCGATCGTGGCCGCGCTCGCGCCGCATCGCACGCACGCGCGGGGAGATGTCACGGGAGGACACGCGCGCGGGAAGCACAGCCCGCAGGAGGCCGCGGCCGCGGCGGCGATCCGCGCGAACGCGACGCTCCGCGCGGCCTTCGAGCGCCGCAACGGCCTGGACCGGCGGCTCTACGACGCGGCCGTCGTCATCTTCTGCGACGAGTGGCGCCGCGCGCTCGCGGACGGCGACTCCTGCGTCCGGGACCTCGCCGACGCGCCCCCCGCGCTCTGCGCGACCGCGACGTCGCGCGACGTCGCGGCGCTCGACGCCGCGTACCCGCCGTTCCGGACGGCCGCGCAGCTCGAGGTCGAGCTCGCGGACGCGCGCGCGAAGATCGCCGACCTCGAGGCGAAGCTCGGGGCCGCGTGACCCGTGGGAACGGGGGCATTATCGTCGCCGCGTGGGCCGAGCTCGCGCGGCGCCCGGTTCGATCATCGCGCGTCTCGCGTAAGAACCTGATCTTCCCACGAGGAGTCCTACGTTCAGAGTTGCATTCAGGAGGGTGTCGCGGCGATCGGATGGCGTTCGTCCGATCCCTAGAGAAGCGCGGCCGCGGGGCAGGCGTGTGGCGAGGCGGAGGTGGACTGGTTGGTCTTCGACGAGGCGCTACGCGTGAGCAAGAAGGAAAGTGCTCGACCGCCACGGAGCGAGGGCACCTGTATCCGCCCATCGACGCCTGCACCGACCCCAGGCGAGGAAGGCCTCGAGGAGGTTGACGTCTGCTCTCTCTCTTCAGAAGCAAGCATTGGCACTCCGCAGCTTCTCGACGATATCACATCGACTGCGACCTCGCAGACGCCTGCCCGCACAATCTGGCGAATCCACGCACCATGGACGAGTACCAAGCCTGTACTCGCCGCCAGCGCAACTCATTTTCACGCTCGCGCGAC